GAGGTGGAGGGGGTCAATTGGGGGGAAAAAATGGGACACCTGTAATACTTTCAACAATAAAGATAAATTTAAAAAAAGTAATCGGAGATGGATTAATCATAGTTTCTGCATTTTTTAAGTTCACAATGTAGTGTGAAAGAAGAGCAAGTAAACAGATAACCAAATTACAATGTCATAAGCAATAAAATGAAACTCTGGGCAAAATTCTTGCAAGCACAGAAGAAGGGTGTATAATTTTGCCTTGGGAAGTTAAAGATGATGTATGAATTGGATCATGAAGGATGACAAGTTCACCAAGTAAAGAAGAGATGAGGGGGCAGCCTTATAGACAAAGTTAACAGCTTGCACAAGGGCACTAATTTATGAAAGACCATGGCATCTTCTAAGCCAATCTATGTGACGGAACAATAGACTGAGGAAGTAGATTGGCATATTTCTTCTGTCTGGAATCTCACCTGTGTTTTCAGATATCCACGTACTCTCCATTTATAAAGAATTAGTTCAAATATGACATGCTCCAGAAAATCTTCTCTGTGATAATTCTTATTGATCTAGTATCTGTGAAGCTGAGTATTTTTAAACCTACTTATAAAGTCAGTAAATCTTTTGTGAATGACAAATCATTAAGTAAACCCAGTTTGTTACTTAGGTGTTAACTGTATGTGTGAACAGTTCCTTAAAAAACTAAAATAGAATCTGGCAATACCACTATAACAATTACACATCTAGCAAGTCCATTTTTAGGTATATAGTCCAAAGAATTGAAACCAGGGATTCCAACAACAGGTACTTGTATACCAATTTTTCAGAAGCATTATTCATGATAGCAAGCAGCTTAAAACAACCCAAGTATCCATGTATAAATGAATAGATAAACAAAATGCGATGTAATCACACTGAGATATTATTAAGCCTTAAAATTGCAAGAAACTCTGACACACTCTAAAACATGGATGGGCCTTAAAAATATTATGCTAAGTAAAATGAGCCAGACAGAAAAGAACACATATTGTATGGTTCTGCTTATATAAGGTACCTAGCCAAAAAGTAGAATAGAGGTTACTAGGGACTGGGGAGAGGGACAATAATTAATTGTTCAATTTTGGGGGGGATGATAAAAAGTTCTTAAAATGATTAGCAGTAATGGTTGTACAATATTGTGAATGTACTTAATTCCATTGAATTCTATACTTAAAATGGTTAAAATGGAAAAACATTGTTATGTATATTTTAGCAAAATAAAAACTTCCTAGAAAAAAAATGTATGTGTTAAGAGACATTATCCCAAACATGTGATCTGAGTAATAAAGGCAAATAAAGAAAAATATTTTTGTCCCTGGAAATAAATAGAAACCATCCAAATTAAAAGAATCAAAGATCCACCTACAGCTATAGTTAAAAATGTTTAAGGCTTTGGGATGGAAGTTTGAAATATATGTGTAATGGATGAAAATGTCACATATCACATGAAGAAACACATTCACAAGGAAAGGAATTCATTTTCGTTTTCAAATGGTGAATTACCTTCTGTTGATGTTCAAAGTCCTGGGATGCTGGTCTCTCCAAACCTAGACCATCTCTCTCTGAGCAAGTATCTCCTTCATTGAGTTCAAGGACTTCACTCTCTTCATTGGTTTCACAGACTCCCCTCCCTCCATTACCCTCCATGCTTCTTTTCCAACTTTCTATATTGGCTCTATCTCCTTCATGATCTCCAATTACTGTATTGTCCCCACTGGCTGCATATCCTACATAGCTTCTACTGGTTCTCTGGCTTCCATAGCTGCTGTAGGCTCCTTCTCCTCCATCATCTCCATCTCTACCATTTTGCTTCCAGCTTCCACCTCTGCCATAACTTGACCTGATAATAAGATCCAATTAATGATTAGGTAAAAGCAACCCAACAAAAACATGTCTGAAAGTCAGCAAATTAAACAGAATGTGTTGTATGCATATGTACTATCTCTAGGCACATTTTTTGCTCTATGTGAATACTGGTATGATATAGAGAAGAAACATGTCTTTATGTCCTTTCAAACTTAAATATTGAATTAACACTATAGCCACCATTAGTTCCCTGGCTGCATTTGGATGGCAGATGGAAGAGAATTTCAATCCTTTATTAATAACACATTAGGTTGGTAGCAAGAATATGTATTTTTCTTAAATAATAGACTATTTTATGCATTAGCAACTTCACAGCCACATGAATGATCAAGCCCATATTCTTGGCTCAAACACAACATATTTGAATAATTCTTTTTGCAATATATCTACTTTATGCTAATGTTAACATGTGCCTTGATTTACTAATGTGTATTGACTGCTTTAATACAGAATCTCATTGACTGGCCTACTACCACCAGGAAGTTCAGTAATATAGATTTCATTAAGCTAAGACAGTCATTTAATTAGTTGCTGAGAACACCAACCTTAACAAAATGTCTCAATGATCTTTTGCATAAAAGGCATAATAAACATGTGCCCATTATAATTCTAAAGCAAATTTATTTGGCAATGGAATTCCTGGTAGATTGTTTTAATTGGAAAAAAGGAAAAAATGCCTGTTCTGTCATATATATTCCCCAATAAAATTTAAATTTTAACAAAACAATATATGGATTTCAATATTATAAAGAAAACAATTCTCCCACTGTTAATTATTTTTACAAATGTAAAAATATATTATAGTAACTAATCTTCTTTGAGAGCAGTTTGAATATAAACCATGAGCATATATAAATGAGAACACACTGGTTATTTAGAGCAGGAGAAAGGAACTAAATATATACACCAAACAATTGGTGGCATGCCAAAAACACTATTTCACTAAATATCATGACTTTGGGCAGCTACCTTATAAAAAGATAAGATTTAATGTGTATTGAATTCAGTTACAGCAGTTTTCAGAATTCCAAGAATAATGCCATGTTAGTAAGTTGCAGTCGAAAAATATCAAGTGAAAGTCAAAAATTTAATAATTTTAAAGCAGATTTAGATATTTTGTTTGCAAATACTAGGGCTTTATCTTATAGTTTTAAAGTAGCAAACTACTAAATTTGGTAACCCATTTCTCATACATATTGCAGTTTCACAGGGTAGGATGATTCAGTAGCACTAATGTTAACAGATGACTTGTGGTGGTGAACACACAATACAGGGTAATGTACAGATTATGTGTTGTGAAATTGTGCACCAGAAACCTTTATAATTTTGTTAATCAGGTTCACCTCAATACATTCAATAAAAAAGAAATGAACAGAAAAATAAATAAAGGAGGTTTTTGTTTATAAAAATTAAAGAACTTAACAAGTACTTGAATACTAATAAAATACTGTATACAAAAATGAAAATTAAGTGTTTTTCATTAAAATAATTATTATATTAAAAATCAACCATTTACCAATTCCAATTGCAATCAAGTGCAATTCCTTCACCCCCTTAGTAATAAATTTTGCAAGTAAACCAAAGGTGCAAATAGTTTTGAAATTATAAAACATGTATAGTGCAAGTAATCCAGAAAAACCAACCTTGGCCAACTAGGAGCATCATTATGATTATTGTCTTTGTCATCAACAGCCTCATCATTGTCATCATCATCATAGTCTTCACCAACATCATTAGCCTGGCCAACCTGGTTATCCAAGGCATCATTGCCATTGCCATTGCCATGGTCATAGGTACCTTCATGCTCATAATTAGAATCATCATCATCACCATCAGTATCAGTACCAGCATCATAGAGTTCAACATAATCACCATCTTCTTCAGGTGGCTGAGCGAAAGGTGCGGGAGTTAACCAGTCATTCCGGAAGATTTCGGAGAGTGCATTATAACCTACCCATTCATTTGTCAAGTAAACGGGAGGTGATATTTTTCCTACTTTAAATCCATCTGGAACCTGTGTGCACAAGAAAGGTTAATGCAGTTTCTAGTATCCTTTCATTTTCTCCTAGATTGAAATATTTCTAAGCTGATAACATCTTAAAGTATATTTTCAATTGAAATGAAAATGTTTACTCAGTGGATAAAGCCAAGATTTTCGTGATGATGAGATACCAAAACCCAAACCTCACAGGGAAAAATTGACTCACTTTTTAAATTACCCCTACTTGTCTTCTGAAGAATAGACATTACATTTTGGTGTTATAGAGTAGGGCAGATGATTTGATGCTTTATAGAAGATATAGTCACTTTTTCCTTTCCTTTTACCCTCTGACATTGGGATTAACACATAGCTCTTAAAATTGGTATGTTAATTTCCAAGCTTTAGTTTTATACAACATAACTTGTCATAAAGTAACAAACACTTTTAAGCATATTAATATAAATCGGACTTTAAGTATGTTATGTGTTATATAAGCAACCCTTGAATGACCTGAAATGGATGTGTGTGTGTGTGGTAGGGTAGGAGTAATTACAAAAGTAAAATGGAGTGACCTAAAAGCACACTACACAAAGAATCAGAATACTTTTTATTTGTGCAATCAGAGGAAATTTTCTATTTCAATAATGTTTTTATTTTTATACATTGCCTGATCATCCAAGAAATGATGAGACAAAAACTGAGCATCTAGCCTCTACTCCTTAATTTGAAATTAGCTTCTAAAAATAGTTTTGTTATAATCCTCTCTTGAAAATGTTCGCACACAAAAATGTAAAAATAAAACATTTTTTTTCTTTATTGTTGAGAGTATTACAGGTGTCCCCCTTTTTCCCCCCATTGCCCTTCTCTACCAGGTTCCCACTCCACCCCAGGCCTTTACCACACTATTGTTTGTGTCCACGGCAATGCATATATGCATATGAGTTTTTCGGTTAATCTCTTCCCACCCCCCTCACCCTGTTCCTTCTGAGATCTGTCAAACTGTTCCATGCTTCTATGTCTATAACATTATTTTGCTTGTGACTTTATTTCGTTCATTAGATTCCACATATAAGTGAGATCAAGTGATATTTGTCTTTCTCTGACTGGTTTATTTCTCTTAGAATAATCATCTCCAGGTCCCTCCATGCTCTCTCAAAGGGTAAGAGATCCTTCTTCTTTATAGCTGCATAGTATTCCATTGGGGTAAATGTCCCACAGCTTTTTTATCTACTCATCTACTGATGGGCCCTTGGGCTGTTTCCAGATCTTAGCTATTGTAAATAATGCTGATATGAATGTAAGGGTGCATATATTCTTTCTGATTGGTGTTTCAGGATTCTTAGGATATATTCCTAGAAGTGGGATCACTGGGTCAAAAGGTAGTTCCATTTTTAATTTTTAAGGAAACTCCATACTGTGTTCCACAGTGGCTGCGGCAGTCTGCATTCCCACCAGCAGTGAACTAGGGTTTCCTTTTCTCCACATTCTCACTAGCACTTGTTGTTTATCAATTAAATGTTTTTCCATTTCAAATTTAATTTCTAGATTTCATCTTGTGCCTACTCACATAGCATGGAAATCTAGCTCTAAAAGATTAACTACCATGCTTCTATGTCACTGAATCTATTTTGTTCATCAGTTTATTATGTTCTTTAGATTCCACATACAAATGAGATCATGTGATATTTGTGTTTCTCTGCCTGGCTTACTGACAAATCTCAGAGGGAGAAAGGGAGTGGGTCGGTGGGTGGGTGGGGAGAGATTAACCAAAGAATTTATATACATATATGAATAACCATGGACACAGACAATAATGTGGTGAAGGCTTGGAGTGTCGAGGGGTGGATGTGGAGTAGAAGGGGTCAATGGAGAATAAAGGGGACAACTGTAATACTTTCAACATTAAAGAGAAATTAAAAAAAGAATAACTTAAAAACTAGACACTTTATCCTTTCCCTCAAGTAAAGATGAAAATACAAAAGTCAAAAGAAATTTAAAATGAAAAAGAACAAACATAAGTGTATTATGAGTAAAGATGGGAACCTACATGGACATCAACCAGCAACTTCTGATCAATTGTAGAATAAGGAGGTGATGACTGGGACCTTCTCCCAGTCACTGGACTCTCTTCCTTGGAAGATTCTGTGGAATGTCAAAAAGTCATTAGTAACAGTGGTGATCGTAGTTGTGACCTTCATATTTATAGTGTACCAGTTCTATCTTTTGGCATTTTTCATGTAGACTTTCCCTTAAGGAAATACCACCTGATAAATTCCCATGGGGCTAGGATTCTAGGTTCTGTTTTCAGTGATGGTGAAAGGCTCAAGGTTTGTACCTTTTGTAGGGCTACATGGCTATTCTTTATTTCCTATTTATTGAATTTATTGGGGTGACACTGGTTAACAAAATTATACAGGTACATGGTTATTCTGTTTTCAATATTAAGGGTGCACTAGCTAAGTGCATTTTTGTCTGTTTAAGGAGGTATACAGTAAGACTGGTAGACAGATAGTTTCATTAAAATAAAGAATATATTAAAAACAGGAAGAGATGGGTGGTACCACTGGCCTCCCATAATAACCAATACAAAAGGAATCCAACAGTGTATTAGAAGAGAGATTAGAAAAAACTCTCAAGAGGGGAGTTGACTGCAATCATTATCATGCCATTTCCACTAAAGGATATTACCTTAAGTATTTCTATATAGGTGAGAAGTGAGCAACTGAAAGAGACAAAACTTAGCCCTTTTAATAAATCTGGGAACCTTCCTATAGTGGTACTGTGCAATAGAACTTTTTTCAGCAATGGTAATGTTCTCCTATTACTGTCCTATACAGTAGTCAGTAAGCACACATGACTTGAGCATTTGAAATATGGACAGTGTGCCTGAGGGGTTGACTTTGTAATTTTATTTTCATTTTAGTTTTAATTTTAATAGTCACATGTGGTTAGCTGCTATCACAATGCATAGCTCAATTTTATAGCATAAATATTTCTTTTTAAAATGCAATTTTACCTGGATTGGCAGTCTGGATTTTTGAGATGAAGATTGATGGTATAGTAACTAACACCTGTGATTAAAATCCAGTGGGAATGCTTAGGGTCAAATATCAGTAGCTCTGGGGGAGCATACTTTGAAAAAGCTTCACTAAGGGGACACTCATGTCCCTGTTTATTGTTTTTGTGCGATTGATTTTAAAGATAAATAATACTATCCCACTTTAACTTGCAGCATTGGTATATATAGTCAAAGTACTGGCATTACAACTCCAGAAAACATGTATTTGCATACACTGCTATCTTTTGAGAATATAACCCTGAATACACCCTACAATTTGTGTCTGCATCTTCTGATACTGTTGTACATTTGCAGTTTCTTATCTTTCTGCAGGAGACCATTTTCTCTCAGGTTTCTTGGTGTGCTATTAAGCTAAATAGAAAGATTGGGTGAGTGTTTGAGATTTTTGAGGCAATTTTATAGTATGGTGCTCTCCTTTCCTGCATGATGAAGTATGCAATTTCATGGGAACTTAAAATGGTCTATGTGGCATACACAATAAAACAATAGAATTTCAGAGCTGAAAAGAACTTTAGCTATTATCTACACAGATGCTATCCATCCCCTTTTCCCTCTAACCACTCTTCAGACTGCTTTGGGGCTTAATCCAAAATTTCCTTATTTCAAAAAAGGTGATAGGAATAAAAACCTTAAACTTCCGTTGTTTGCCCATTATTAACCAAATTGCCCTAGGTAAACCAGAAAGATTCTGGGGGGGAAATTCCTAAAGTTGCTCTTCATGCAGGTTTATCTTATTTCTTACAAGATAATATTTCTGCATGAGGGGTCTCTACTGTTTAAAAGGATTCTGCCGTTATCTGAGTATCCTAAGAAGAATGAGGTTTTAAAGTTCATGTCTTTCAAAATCTGATTTTACACCTATATACCCTTTTAATTATTAACACTTTAATAAAATCTGTATGCTCCATTTTTACAGATACCTTGGGGACTCAGGTATTTTGTCCTTGCTTAACTTACTTAGATTGCTTAAAAGTAGATAATGCCAGATTTTATGACCCGAGGCCCAACTTTTGCCTTTGTTTACTCAATATTTCACAAATCTATAATTAACTTAAACTCTCTCAAAAGCACATCATAAGCCTGGCTGGGCATAACTCAGTGGTTGAGCAATGACCTAGGATCCAGGAGGTCGCGGTTCGATTCCCGGTCAGGGCCCAGGCCCAGGTTGCGGGCTCAATCTCCAGTTGGGGGCGTGCACGAGGCAGCCGACCAGTGACTCTCTCATCACTGATGTTTCTGTCTCTCTCTCTCCTTTCCTCTTTCTGAAATCAATAGAGATATGTTTTTTAAAAAGTGCGCATCATAAAATAAACCACCTATTTGAAAGTCATATCAGACTTTGAGAAGTTATTTTCTATGATTTTATTGATTAATTTTTCATGTATTTTGAGTAAACTCATCAATTTGTAACATTTATAAATGTTTATGATGAACTTTATATCTTTTACTTCAGGAGGTGAAATAACAAACTGATAAATAAAACACATGCTCACAACTACTTCATCTAATATTCCCATATACTAAAGATAGCCTATAAATTTAAGCTCATTGGAGAGGCCTCTCCCAAGTGCCTTTCCCATATATTTCACACATATTATAGAAACTAAAGTAGACACACCCCGCCTCCCTAGACACATTCGTAGCTACTACTCAAGTAAAAGAAGAAATTTTTGAAAAATTAATTTCCATTTCTCATAGGTCACCACTGACTACCCAATTGCCAAATCCAATGGCCTCCTGGTGTTAATCCTACTTAGACTCCCTGACATTTTGATTAATTTCCTGATGAAATTATTTCTTCACTTCTGCAATATAAATTGTGAATCATTAGCTCTGTGTTTTGAGTGTTTGTGCTTTGAATCACCTGATGTTGCTGGGCAATTCTGAGGATATTTCGAACTCCTTTGTCTGGTATCAACGGGCTTCTGAGCTTGTTCCAAAAGAGACTGCTGAGGAACACTAATGAAAAGACAGAAAAGTATGTGCCATGTCCTAACATTCACAAAGGGAATGTATAAATCAACATCAAGACCAACAAAAAGTTTTAAGTATATGGGTATATACCAAACTGGAAAGAAGTAGAGCTTAAATAATATTTTCCAATTTCCATTTTCCTCCAAACTTGCTATTTTATCTAGAACAAAGAAGCAATTTCCAGAATGTAAAAAAGTATCCCCATATAGTTATGTGTTTCTTTCACATATCATATTTACTTCTAAAATTCCTATAAATTTTCTTTAAGCAAGTATTCAGACATTAATAAAGTAATGCAGCAATAAACATAACTTTATAGTGTACGGTGAGGATTTCAACATGATAAAAACGCTCAGTAATTGTTATGTCAAATATTCCACTATTATCATCCTGGTTTAAAATGCTTAGAATCATGATTTTCAATGTCCTCTTCCAGATATAGATAGATGGATGGATGGACACAGATAGGATGCTTTAATTTTTACTATTCAAATTCAGGGAGTATTTAGAAAGATTTTTTCAACCAGTGCTGCTAAATTTTACAGTTGCTTTGGAATTTCTGCATAAGGACTATGGTTATTGATTTAAGAATGGAACAGACAAGAGTTTTTCTATGACCCAAAATTTCAGGAAAGACTCAAGTTTCATCTAAATTAATTTTATAAATTTAGCCATACTTAAAGTTAATATATTTGTTATTCATAAATTCAAAACTCCTTTTGTAACATGATCAACCAATTCCAGTTTAACAGCAAGAACTATATATATA